AATCTACGAATTACAGGACTTAATAATTCTTTATCAACTGGAGGATCGTTCTTGTTTGTTAAATAACTGATAATTAGTCCCACTATTAGAGTAACAATGAGTCCTGATACGCAGTTGTAAAAATGCGACAACCTAAAGATAAAAAAAGGTTTAAATCTAAAACCAAAATTGTTGTAAGTATTGTTGTAACACAATTTACAATAATTCTATACTCTGAATGTGAAGTAACGTTGTTGGGATGAATAAAACTGTTGTAAAAAGTATTGTTAGTCGCCAAAGAAGTATTGGTCCAACATCCACTCACAGAAAACGTTTTAGGAACATCAACAATGATTTTTTTGTATCGATACACTCTTGAGACAACAAACACGAATATTTGAAAGATAAACGACGAAACGGCACCATAAAATGCACCCTAGGGTTATTATTAGAGTAATTTTGATTTTGTTTTATTACTTTACCTTAGCATTAGCTTTTGGAAAGAGAACTCCTAAACAAAATACACCCAACGTTGGTCCGTATGCCATAGACTTTGCACTGAATCCAAGAGGGAGAAGATCTCCCAAATATTGCAGCACAAGTATTAAAAACGTACTGAAAATACCAGTTATGACAACAATTAATCTTAAAATTCTGCCAGACGTTTTTTCTTTAATACTGCCTTTCCAACATCGCAAAAGAAAATCTTTATAAACGACACCAGATATTGCATTCAGACTTGAAGATATAGTACTAAAATATCAAAAAAAAAATTTTTAATTACTTATTTACACCATAAAAGATTTTGTCCTTTTATTCACCTCATAGTAGCACAGAATAAACCAACCAAAGTAAACCCAACTACCCCAGGAATATGACCAGCAATTTCCATAGTGTAATATGGTAATAACTGCTCATGTCGTTGAATTTTTCCACTAATAAAAGGATCACAATTTGCATAATGTGCATAGAATAATAGACCCAATAAAATGCAAAATATTTCCACTATTTCCATTGTTATCACATAAAAAACCATTGCCCTAAATACAAATACTTTATATATATATACTGCTCTACAAAAGTTAAGGTGTGCAATAATTACAATTAATTAAATTAATAAATTATTAAAAAGGCAACTATCCTTTTAATTTTTTGTTTTTGCTGGATTCTACAATGCTTAGAATAATAAGATTTGCTTGTTGTAAAAATCATGCGACTTCCTTAACTTTTGTGGAGCTGTTTATTTTGGGGGTTAAATACAGCATTTTTTTGACTTTGTCAACAATTGACAAAATGTGAGAATTTTATTGTGTGTGCTTTTTCTTACCAAATCCATTGACGAAATGTCGGTAACGCTAGATATTTTTGAACCCCAGATTGCGAAAGATTGATATAAATCATCAATTGAAAGGTACAACCAACTATGTATGTCCAAAAACTGTCACGAAGCGTGGGATCTAAATTAAAACTGAAAACCAAAATAATTTTTTTTAGAATTTGCGAACGAAATTTACTTCAAAATATCGAGTCTTCCACCATCGAGTGCTGTTTTCCATAGTGATGAAAAATTTCCAGTGGTATTTAAGCCGATTGCACAAATTATAAGTAGAAATAAAAAAATTATTCCAATTTGGAAAATATCAGTCCATACGACAGTTTTTAGTCCCCCGATTGTAGTATAGAAAATACAAGTGCCAAACACACAAATAATTATGTAATAAATATGAAAACCAGTAACTAATACAAAAAAAAGAAACAGTTGAGTGAAAAATTTTGAAAACAAACAATTACCCGCTGAAAGTGCCAGAGAGGGTGCATAAGTACCAATCGCGATGGTAAAAACCTCCCCCACAATAAAAAAAAATGACACAAGTACTTTGGTTTTATAGTCGAAGCGTTTCTCCAGATATTCGTAAATGCTGGTAACTTGCAGTTTGAAAAAAACGGGGAAAAATACTGAAATTGATATAATTCCCATCAATACCAAACTAATCATAATGTAGACGTAATATGCCCCAAATTTGTAAACATCGACTGGTGCTCCCATTATAGTAATTGCAGAAAAGTGACTACAATTTCAAAAATTCACTTTTGAACCCAAACTAGTAATTCGTAAGTACCTCACAGCTACCGAAATTGCGATTGGTAGAGCAGTCATTTTTTTGCCGCC